CTGGCCAATTTGCTGATAGCGCCCGGTCTTTCCAAGATTGCTTACAAGCAAGCTAACGGTGGTTTCAGCTCCTTGGATATGCGGGTATCAGTTCATCATCGCAAGGAGTGGAAGAATTGTAAAAAGAATGGTTGACTGTCTGGTGCAGCGAATTCGTACCGACCTTTAGCATGAGAACAGCATGCTAATTACCACAGCACTAAGTGTCAGCACTTAGTATATATTTTCAGCCTCTTTCTCAATCTAGCTGACATCTCTTCCTCATTATCCTCTATTTTGTGCTTTTCTTGTCCTACGGTTTCCTTCCGCCGCACTGACTGCCTTTCAGTGTTCGTTTGCAATGAATGGAAAACGTACAATAATCGGTTCCGTCCGCATTTTTTATCTGAATTACTGCTCCAAAAATTCTTCAATACCATCACGTGGCAGACACTCATACCTCTGTGTCTAAGACGTTAGATGGGGAAATTGGAGTTTTTCAAGCTATTTACACATGTCCAATATTTAAAAAATATTAAATTCTGTGCCCACAATCTTTAATCTATAGATTTTGTTAGCCTTATGATAATGGCACAACTCTTTCGATAATTCGTAATGATCGATTAACCAGTTCCATTTAGTGAGGCTCTATTGATAAGCAGTTATGTGGATGGCGATGATGAGGAAACTCGAATGATGCGCCGTGCTATGGTGCGATATATGTGTTTGGCACAAGTACTGGTCTATCGAGATATCAGTATACCGGTTCGGAAGCGCTTTCCAACATACACAGCCATCGTCAAGGCTGGTCAATTTTCGTTCCTATCCTCCCTAAAACTATAGATGGTAACTCAGGGCCGGCACAGTTGCACTCGGCATATGAGAACGTCCTGTTTGCATCATAAAGATTGGTTACATACCGATGTCGCGGAAATCCAGTGAAAAACCGGAAAGAAAACGCCACCACAAGGATTAAAAAAAGCGTGCAAGAAATTGGAAGGTATGTCTGCCTTAAAAATAACGGATACACAGTAGATGTGTTCCCAGTTTAAGGCCCGAACAAAAGGGCCAGTGGTGCACACAGACAGCATATTGCGTCTAGATGTGAAGAGAAGTGGTTCGATGTCTCTTCGGTTCACGTCAAATTGATTGTTCGCGTGGTTTTGGCATTCTCGATAAAGTAGTGCATTTTTCCTACACTTCACTGTTTGTTTTTTTCTTTATTGAACGTCACAAAATCAACTAGGATAAATAAATATTTCAGGATTTATGACGGCGCGTGAAATGAAAAAATTGTCAGATATAGATCTGGAATACGACAAATATTGGGTACCAATCAATTGGACATTTACGCTACTTCACAATGCGCGGCGAGCCAAGAAAATTAGTAGCGATGTGATGACCAATAAATTATGTGATGTTA